TCTTTTTGAGTCAGGGTCTCGCTATGCAGTTCAGGCTGGCCTTAAGCTCACTTTGTCGCCCAGGCTGGTCTTGAACTTGCAACAATCCTCCTGCCTCAGCCTCCCGAGTGCTGGGATTACAGGTGTGCGCCACCACGCCCAGCTGTTTTGATTTTAAATGTACAAATTTTCCTTGAAACTTACATCTTGCTTTGTGCATTGGATTATGTCATTTCATAACTTTTTTTTTGAGACATGGTCTCACCATGCAATTCAGTCTGGACTTGAACTCACATTGTCACTTATGCTGGCTTGGATCTCACGGTGATCTTCCTGCCTCAGTGTCACCAGTGCAGGGATTACAGTTGTCCACCAGCAAGCCAAGCTTTGTTGTTTCACCTATTATGTAAAAGATCATACTTCTCTTTCAATGAAAGCCATCTCTTCAGAGCTCAGCCAGATCTCCCTTGTCAGTCATCTGAATTCCTCTCGATTCTGAAGCAGGTGAATGGGAGGAGCAAGGGCACCTTGGATTGAGCTGCTCTAAATGGAAGAACATTTGTATCTTGTTTTTCTCCTGAGGGTGGGACCCCATGCTTTCCACTGAGCTCTATACTCAGCCATTTTTATTTAATTTTCTATTTTGAGATAAGAATCACTGAGGTATGGTCATTAGACTACAAGTTGGAAGTTTTCTTCCTCAGCTTTCCCAAATCCTGGGATTATATGAGTGGATCACCAAACCTGTTTTTAAAATTAATTAATTCCCTAATTAAATTATTTATTCATTTGACCCAGATTCTCACTCTGCATTTCAGGCTTGCCTTGAGCTCACTATGTACCTCTGGTGGTCTTAGAACTCCTGTTCATCTTCCCCAGTGCTGTGATCACAGGCTGTCCCACTGTCCCCAACTCCTCTCATAGTATTTTGTTTATAATTTCTATTTATTTTTGGTTTTATTTTCTGGAGATAACGTCTACACTATGTACTACAGGCTGGCCTTGAACTCACTGTGTAGCCCCAGCTGGCCCCAGTCCTCCCGACTGCTATGATTACCGGGTGTACCACCGCATTTGGCTCTAACAGTATTTTAATAACAGCCCTGGGAAGCTCGCTCCATGGTAGAGCTGTGGATTAGAATGGAACAGGCTCAAGCCTTGAGCAAATCACAGCAAATATGTGTGTATTTTCTTTCAATACTGAGGTCTGAGGCAGGGGTGCTGAATGACAAAGCTAACACCCCTGACACCACTGTATTTGCTGTTTTGTTTTGATATGGGGCCTCCTAACACCTAGGCTGACTTTGAACTCTCCGTCTTTTGTCAGTCCCTCAAGGACTGGCACTAGAGGCTTGCACCACCTCATCCAGCTGGAAGTGTCCTTCTCCCCCCCACTTCTCTCTCTCCTTCCTTTTCTTCCTCTGCTCTCCCTCGCTACTTTCCTTTCTCCAGGCTGAATTACACCACAAGTCTTTAAGACAAGCTCTTGCTATATCACTACATTACCCATTTGGGGCTTGGATTTGAATTTTGGGATTCTCCTGCCCCAGCCTCCCAGGCACTTGTAAGGAAAATGATTTTTGCAGAATTCAAATATTCAATTTCTGTTCCTTAAATGGTCACTCAGCAGAACCTGGTAGCACACACCTTTAATCCTAGCTCTAGGGTGGCTAAAATAGGAAGATCAATGTGAATTTGTTTTACTTTTTTTTCTTTTGGTCCTGGGAATCGAACTCAGGACCTTGTGCTTGCCAGACAGGTGCTTATGCCACTTTGCTATATCCCTGGCCAAGATCAGTGTGAATGTGCCTCATGCTTGGGCTACATAATGAATTCAAGGAGGGTCTGAACTGCATGGTGAGACTCTGTCTGGAAAACAAAAGAAGAAAAAGTAAATGATAAGTCAAAGATGATGATTGTGATTTTAGTGAGGACCCTGGCTCTCAATGCTTAGACTTGGCTCAATTCCCATCAACATAAGGATTAAAAAAAAGCCAGGCATGCTGGTGCTCACCTTTAATGCCAGCACTGCAGAAGTTGATGCAATAGTACCACTTTGTTTGAGTCCAACATGGCATATACAAGTTCAAGGGCAACCTGAGCTATATATCCAGACGGTCTCTAAATAGGAATAAAGAGAATTAAAAATGAAGCTGAAACAATTCCATATAGGCCAGTGTATTTACCCATGTCTGCAATGTTGCTTACTCGTGAAGCTGAAGCAGGATAATTTCCACCAGCTTGGAAAACAGAGAATCGTGTCTCAAAATAAGAAACAGCCAAAAAAGAGAAAGAAAAAATAAAAGCAAGAACTAAACAGGTGACTCTGAGCAAAATGCACATTCAAGCCATTGATCTGCACACTACAGTAAAAAAGTATCTATTTAATACTTTACACCAGGTTTTTATTTAGTTTTTTTTGTTTTCCTTCATGTGTTTTTTTTGTTGCTGTTGTTGGCTTCTTCTTCTTTTTTTTTTTTTTTAAAGACAGGATCTATCTAATAAGTCTAAGATGGCTTTGAATAGCTTAGGCTCACAATGTAGGCCAGACTACCCTAGAACTTGGAGTGATTCACCTGCCTCAGCTTGGAGTGTACTGGGATAACAGGCAGCCACCACTATACCTGGCTACATTGGTTGTTTTTCTTTTTTGTAGTATTGGATTTAAACCACAGCCTTTGAACTGATGTACCTACCCATATCTAACTTTTATCTAATGAAAATGTATTGCAAGGCATTCTTTCTAAGTCACTAAATTGTCAGGCTGGGATTAAACTTCAAATTCTCTTTCCTTGGATTCCCATAGGTTGGGATTATACACTTGTTCTGTCCTGTCCGAGTATGGAGTATTTTAAAGATGGACACTTTGTTTTTAACAATTTTCTCTCCTGAACTCTGTCACAAAGTGCTAAGTTGTCAAACATAGAAGAGTTTTAACAACCTACAGCAGAATTAGCATTTTCCATCGCTAACTTGCACACGCTCCATAACAATGCTGCATGTCTTTTATACTTGCTTCTTAAACTTCACAAAATGAAAATAATAGGATCCACTTCATAGAGTCTCCCTAATGTTTCCTGCCTGGCTCATGGTTGGACTGGAGGTCATAAGTTGGTTGGACCATAAGACACTTCCATTATTATTCTAGGGCCTTGTCCCAATGATCAGAAACTGTCCAAACAAGAGGGGACTGAGATTTCACAACACTCAGAACCCACTTCCCTGAGGGACTGGAATTCAAAGGACTAGTTGCTTGAAGTGGATAGGGTAGTGGGTCCTGCTTCCAACAGGGTCATACATATGGCTCTGTGGCCACCCAGATCGGGGAAATTGGGATAAACTGAGAAGGCTTTACATTAGCCAGACCAGGGACTCTGGCTCTGAGTTGAATTTCATGGGTTAGCTGGGGTTTCTGAGATTTGTCTGAACAGATGCCTCTTCCTAGATGTTACCCAGTATGCCTCTCCATGCAGATATCTCAGGATGAGCACGCACAGCCCACCGCCTCTGTATGAGCTGGCCAAGCAGAGCCTGCTGAAGACTGAGCCCATAGCCAGCACTGCGCTGCATGACCTGCCCTCCCCAATCTTCCATGACTTATTCATGGACGCCTTCATGGGGGAACACAATGAGGTCCTGAAGGTGATGGTGCAGGCCTGGCCATTCCCCTATCTACCTTTGAGGAGCCTGATGGATTTGAGGGAACCCAAGATGCCACACTCTCAGGTTGGAGAAATCACACTGCAACAGAGAAACCTACAGACATTAGAAGCCATATTGGATGGAATCGATATACAGCTGTCCCAGAAGGTTCAGCACAGGTGAGCATGATACAAGATTCCTGGAATGAGGTCCTGGAACTCCATGGAAGGGACAATGGGTGTCAGGGCACAAGGGAGACTGAAGTGTGGAGCTGCTTCTGATGTTGAGGAGGATCACAGAGTTCTTGGCTTTTGCTAATCCCAACATGGGACAGGGTTACATGATGAGAAAGATGCATGTGCGGGATGTGATGAACTCAGGAGAAACCTGCATCTTCATTACCTCACAGGAACTAGAAGCTGAGCCATACTCCATGCAAAGGTTAAAAAGGGAGAAAAGGGAAGGCAGGAAGGTAGGGGAATGGCAGATGTACAGAAAATGCAAGAGAAGAACAGGTAGAAAGTTGGGTCTTTATCTCAATTCTGAGGTTGCTTTCTGTCTTACACACAGCAGGTGGAAACTGCAGGTGCTGGACTGGAGGGATGTACACCAGGACTTCTGGACTGTAGGACCCAGAGCCGTGAGTGCTGCCTACTCAGTCGATGCCAGGGATAAGGAACTGGACAGGCCTGGGTTAAGTGAGGAGAACCCAACCTTGAGAATATTCGCAAACCTTTGTTTTGAAGCCTGGAGTCTGTTTTGTGCCACCAATGATCAGTTACAGCTCTGCCTCTTGAAGTGGGCCCGAAGGAGAAAAGCTTCAGTGCACCTGCACTGTGAGAAGGTGATGATCAACTCCAGTGCTGTCTTCAAAATCCTGAAGCTTCTGCAAGCTGTGCAACTGGATTCTATCCGTGAGGTGGAGGTGCTTAGTTACTGGGGTCCAGAGAGAATGAAAGCATTTGTTCCTCAGCTAAGGAAGATGAAAAACCTTCACACATTTCACTTCAGAAGCCTGAGTCCAGAAGTGTGTACTGCACCCTGGAAAAGGAAGTGGTATTCCCGCATCTATGCCTCAAATTTAGCACAGCTGAAAAATCTCCATGAGCTTCAGATGGATGAAGTCTTCTTCCTGCATGGAAATCTGCATAAGATCATCAGGTGGGTTGGGGGAGAGCTCCCCTGCACATTCGTGGGTACAGTACAGATTAATAGGGCTCTTTGTCCCTCTCTGTGGGCCTAGGGGAAAATACTAGGCAGTGGGAAAGACAGCACTGTCTCAACCACGGCAAGATCTCTCATAACCTCATATGTAAAAGCAGGGACTAAACTGGGATAGGAGGCCTGGAGCAGGTGTCATGTCCAGAAAGCCAGCAGTCAGGAAGCAGTCAAAATGAGGGCAAATTAGATTTCTTGTTAGGACCCAGGTCCAGGTAGAGTTCTGGGAAAAGGAAAGAGAGAGCAGTACTGGAGGGGCAGGCCTCACACCCACACATTGGACAGGTGATTGTGCTCAGCAGCTGTGATGTCAGGGAGCCAGGCTGCACGAGCCCCTTAGAGAAAGGCTGCTGACTGCTTCTCATATTTACTTCCTCATTGCTAGGACAAAATACCCAATGCACCCAAGTTAAATGAGGAAAGGTTCATTTTAGCTCACAGATGATACAGGTTTAGTCCAGAGTCAGTGGGCTCCAGGCATGAAAGAGTAGAAACAATCTGTTGCATGATACGAAGAGAGCAGCTGTCTTCTTGCTTCCCTTATAATCAGTCCAGAATACAAGGCTATGTTGCTTGCTGCCACTCAAACCTAGAGTGGTGCTTCCCTCTTCAGTAATTCCATCCCCTACAGCTATGCAAAATCAATCACTGGACTGATTCATTTGTCACACCATGATGTAGCCACTTCCTGAAACCCCCATGAGTAAGTGTGTAAGGCTTTGGGTGGACAGCAGGATCAAAGGCATAACAGTGCTCCAGGCAGGGCAATGAGCAGATGGGAAGGGCAAGATTCTACAGCTGAGGGTGAGGAACACAGGGCTGGAAACAGGGACACGGGTGTTACTGAGGATACAGAGCCAACTGCAGTCCATTGGCAAACTTCCCTGGGTTTATCTTTCCTCCAAGTCACTCACTGGCCTCATCTGGCATGATCTGTAGTTTTCTGCTTGGCAGTAAGCACAGAGGGTCATAGAGAATGGGGACTGAACCAGTCACACAAGTGACAGTGACTTGAAGAGCAGTGCTTCAATACACAGCATCTTGGTGATCATCAGATGGTGATAGCAACATGGGGGCGAAACTAGCTCTTCTACATTGAGGTCATTTCTTATGTACCCCATCATCACCCCATTCATAGGAAATAACTTTTCTCTTTGCAGGAACCAGACCCCCTTGGAGGCCCTCTCCTTGAGTTCAAGTCCACTGAAGGAATCTGACCTGCAGCATCTGTCCCAGTGTGCAAGCACAAGCCAGCTCAAGTCCTTGACTCTGAGGAGGATTTCAATGAAATCATTCAAACCTGAGACTCTCCAGGGATTGATAGACAATGTGGCCAGCACCCTGGAGACCCTGGTCCTAGAACACTGTGACATCACAGACTCCCAGCTCCTTGCCATCTTGCCTGCCCTGAGCCGCTGCACCCAGCTCAAGACTTTCAGTTGCTATGGGAACCACTTTTCCCTGGGCATGCTTCAGGTCCTGCTGCACCTTACTGCTGGACTGAGCCAGTTGTCCCAGGGGCTGTATCCTGCTCCCCTGGAAAGCTATGAGTCCAATATTCCAACCAAGTTTGTGCACCCTGAGCTATTTGCCCAAGTTCGTGCTGAATTGGCAGAGGTTCTAAAGGTGATAAGACCATCTCTTAGGGTCCAGATCTGTACTTACTCCTGTAATTTTTATATGATATGCCAATTCTATAGCCTGGATCCCAGTGGGAACTGGGAAGTCACAGAGGAGTATCGCTATTGAAGTAAACTTATGTGCTACAATTGTGTGCATTCCCAACTCGGTGAAGGTATTTTTTTTAATCTAAATGCACCCTCCACACCTCCTACACTGACAGGTGGGCCTTCCAGGAGTTAAGTGCACCACGTGTGTACAATACTCATCACTGGGTTAGTCCACGGAGTTTACAGCTTCATGTGATGTTGGAAGGCAAAGCCTGATCAAAGGAGGTGGTCACTAGGGGTGTGGCCTGGAAGAATCTATCTCCTTACCTCTGTTAATCTCTCTCTGCTTCCCACAGCCAGGTCATAAGCTACTTTTCCTCTGCCGTGACAGCCTATGAACTGAATTATAAAACAGAATAAACCTTTCCTCTTTAAAATGTGAGTGTTGAGTATTTCTTACCAGTGACAAGGGAAGTAATGAAATGTGCATATGTTAGGCTGCAAAGATGATTGTCAAGTGCTCATAAAGGGAAGCTTGCTAGGTATGGAAGCTCATGTCCATACTCCTAGCACTTTGGAAGCCAGGGCAGGAGGATCATCTCCAGTTAGACTCCAGCCCTAGCTACATGGTGATGCGCTATACCAAAAATAAATAGATAAATAGATAAATAAAAATAATCTTAATGTAAACTCTTTCATGATTAATGACTTGATGTTCCAATTTAATTATGCGTTGGTTATTTTTTGTTTATTAGTATGTTTGCCATGCACAATAATTACATTCATCTTGGATAGAGAAGGTTCCTTTTCCTTTCTCTTTTTTTCAGTATAGGGAATTGAATTAAGGATCTTCACATTGAGCTATATCTCCATCCCTTTTTATTTTTTATATTCTTTCTCTTTATGTGTTCGCAGTACTTCATGGTCACATGTATCATCGGTAGTTGCTACAGATACATAATACTCTTTTAATTTCCCATTCCTTTCCCTTAAATCTCTTGGTCTTCTTCCATTTGCAAGTTTATTTTTTGAGACAGTGTTCCAATAATTAGCTTAATTATCCAGGCCAACCTCAAACCTGGAATCCTCCTGTCTCAGCCTCTAAGGGTACTGAGATTATAGGCCCCCACCACCACACACAGCTTGGCTTTCCACTTTGTCCTCAGCCATTTCCAATGGTTGGAGGAAAAAAAAGGCTTTAGATTGCCTCATGTGCATGGTGGTAGGCTGCAGGATCTCCAGACATCAAAGTAACATGCTGCCCTTCAGATCATTCCTTACCTTTTTTTAGTTCTTTGGGTCAAGACTTGGGCCCTATTCATGACAGGCCAGTGGTCTACCACTGAGCTGCACTCTTGGCCACCTTCCCTCTTGTTTCCTTCCCTGGGGACATCTGTTACCCCTGTTTATTTCTGTGGCTGTTTCCAACATGGTCCAGTCCACATCCTCCAGGCTGGCTTCATTCACTTAGGGTTGCACCTGCAATATCCGCAGGCTTTGATAGTCTGTTGATATCCCATTCTCAGGACAGAGCTGAGTTAAATTATCCATTCACCTATCAAAGCATAGCTGGTCAATATCAAACACAAGATGTGAAGAGAGCAGCTGGGAACATCTGAGTGGAGATCTGCTCACCTAGAAAACACCTAAGAGCTCCATTGCTGGGTCATGGGCTAGGGATATATATTGTCAGTTTTCCAAGACAACCTCCTCTATTAGAGTGGAAAAGAAGTAACACGACTGGTACCCAAGACATAATTTCTAGCAGGGAAAAATTTCTTTTGCCTCACAAAAGACAGGGACATTCGCCACAGCCACGTGCCACACAGCTGAGCATGGAGCCTGGCAAGTGTCAGCAACTGCTGCTGCCCCACGGTGGCTGGGGAATCTCCAGGGTGAATTTGTAGACACTAAGAGGCTAAAAGTGATGTGAATACGATGGATGTAGAAAATGCAGCACTCATGGTGGACACTGCACGAGTGTCGTGAATCCAGAATTCACAAGGGAGAACAAACTCAATTTGGTTTTTCACACACTCTCCCCCAAGACATGGAGGACAATACTCCGAATGTAAACTCCTGGAATCCAGATGGAGCTAACATCTCCCCTGCCCCCCAGGGCCCTCTCCAGACTGCCCAGCTTAGGCTGCCTTCCAGGTAACTCTCACTTCCCATGCATTTGTGCATTCTGGGGCCTCTGGTTGCTTATTCCCTCCTAGAAATTATGTCTTGGGTACCAGTCGTGTTACTTCTTTTCCACTTAAGCGTTGTTCTTCAAAGATTTGGCCTTATACTTACCAAGTATGGTGGCACATGTATAATCTCAGCATTCAGCAGACTGAA